ATCCAGCATCAAATTCATAGCAAAAGTGGTTCTGATAAAGCTACCATCCTTGGATAACCTTCACCCTAAAGCACTGCAGGCAGCAGCCATTCACCTAGCCTAGCCATTTGTCGGATTCTTTCAGAGAACTCCGTCTGGTCCTACCAATTACCGTCTGGTAACACTTCACTCTGCCCCTTCCGAAATCATGGAAGCGATCATCGCTGACGTAATGATGGGCTACTTGGAAAACGTAGGCAATGCATTATTAGGATGGGTTGGTAATTTTCTCCGTGAACAGCAGTTCTAGGTTAGAGACCGAACATCTCTGCCCGACTCTAATCGAGTGGAGTGCGACGATCTTGCGATAGCCATCACCCCAGAAATTTTACTTGTCCGGATGACGTTAAAAGTTGGCCGGGGATCAAGAGAATGGACGACCACAAGATCCTCCATGTGCGACCTAGATGGGACCTGGAATTGACCGGTGATGAATTCACTGCCATTAAATGTGGTCAAGTGACATATTATCCACATCCGCCACAGAAACGCCCATCTCTAGAATATTGGGGCATATGACCTGCAGACAAGCCCTCAGGAACTTGACTTCGGTGTGCTGGTGCAGGACGAATTCGGTTATTCCAGACAGTCAGAATCCAAAAGTGGTAACCAGCACGTTGTTAGCTTGCGGATGGCATTCGAAAGTTTGGATTCATTCATCTTCTCTATGATGCTCCATGCCTACGTGCGTTAACACGTCGAATACGTAATCCAGGCTTGGCACGCTTGGCTAAACCGTGACCTTGCAGCGCTTGAAACTAACCATGGTCGAGCAGCGACTAAAAACACTCAGAGTGTTCAGTAGACGCTACAGGTGGCTATGTGGAGACCTCATATTAGTCTACTAGATACGGAACGACCCCACGTACACATGTTGCCACCTACTGCAACTCATCCCGAACATCAACTTCACAGGCAATAGCCTGAAACTGAGTCAACAACACAGTCGGCTTTTCATTAAGACTGGACGAACCTCAGCTCATAGCGATTCAGTGATTCCGCCATAAGTAGCCATCGAACGTTTCGGTGCCTACGCTGTTTATGTGCTCAACGACAGGCTGGAGGTTAAGAATTCTATCCGACCGGACGCATCATTAGCACCATTTGCCAGCAGATCAGTTCAGTCGTTAACAGATTTGTGAAAGAGGATAAGTGTATTAACAGAAATGTATTGGAACGATTGCCTATGCTAGTGAAGAATATGTTCAAAATGTCCGCCGGCATTCTGCTTGCAGTGCAGAAACCGCTTGATGCAATTGGTGAGCACTTTCTCCAATGTATCCCTCGTGATCGCGCGACTTTCGTTCACAATATTTGCTTTCAACTGGTCCAATGTACTCGGCCTTGTTTTGTACACTCGCCGCTTCAGATAGCCCCATAGAAAAAATCCATGGGGTTCAAATCTGGTGAGCGAGCAGGCCACTCCGTTGGTCCACCGCGTCCGGTCCAATGGTGGCCAAATTTGTCGGTGAGGTAAGCACGCACCGTTTTAGCAGAATGTGCGGGTGCACCATCCTGCTGCCACCAACCAGTACTGCATGCCCCTTCGGCCTCCAATTGAGGAAGCACAAATGTCTGCAGCATTTCCAACGACGACGATGCTAGAAAAAGATAAGGCTTTAGTACCTCAAAACAACAACCTACCGGTCACATTCCCGGAAAAGAAATATGAGTTCAAGATTTTCTGGCTTGTTAATCCGGCCCAAACGATCAGTTTCACACTGTGGTGCATACATGATGCGGTAAATTTTCGTGGGTTGCTGGTAGCCCAACAGTAATGTTTCATTGTTCCACGCAGATGAAACAATGCTTCATCTGTAAAGATAACAGAACGGATATCTCCGTGATCCAGAAACCAGCGGCAAAATTCATGTAGCTTCTCCGGATTGCATGGGCTCAAAACCTGCACTTGAAGTGCACGGAATCGCCAGTAATGTCCGGTGTACCGCATATCGGGTCGTGTCACAGTGCTGTGCGATCCGATGAATGCTGAGATCAGGACTTTTTGACATTTCACTGACTACAGCGCAAGCTGAACAGTCGTCCGTGGTAATGCGAGGCGGTCCGGTTCTCTACATGTCACACATACTCCCAGTTTGCTTGAATTTCTTCACTAGTTTAAGCACGTAGCGGGCGATGAGGGGACGCATTCCTGCGTTCATTGCATCGTATTTTCTTGAAGCTGATGCGGCGTTTAAACCGCATTCACTGTACAGCCGAATACTCAGCGCGCGCTGAGTAACAGGAACGTTACGTGATCCCGACTGCATTGTCTGCTCCTGCTCCAGTACCTGTGATTCAATAACATTGACAAGAGTTGCAATGTCTAACCTCGTCCTCAGCTGAGCTGCCATCACGTGCGCACATTCACGTTGATTGCCTAGGCAGACTTCGCTGCGTAGCCAGCGAGACAGAGACAACCATCGATCGCTGCAACGCATATGGTTGGCCATGACCTTCAGCACTCAGCGCGAAGTTAGCTGACAGCTAACGAGCGCCGGAAACATGTTGTGGCTGTCGGTACTCATCTCGCTCATGATCAAAACAGCCTCATGTCGGTGTGTCTTTAGAGGTTTGGCTTTTTCTCAGCTGAGCCCTACACTAAATCATTCGTCTGCCGAGAACTCCATACGTCCGCACCGCTAAGGTGAGAGAGAAATTCATGCCTCTGCACGCGCAGTAGCACGTTGCGAATTTCGCTAAACATTGGATGGCTGTTGGATGTTGGGGACAACAACCGTAGATGACCGGTGTTCATAAGCGAGCCACGGTAGGTAAATGAACGCTAATCGGCCTTCTTCCTTCAGGCTAAGCTATTGACCGCGTGAAGTTGTGTCACTGCCTATGAAGTGTGTGCCGGCTAAATTGATCTCCCTTATTTAACTCTCTTCCGTGATTGCTGAGAACGTAGAGGGATCCACTGGTAACTTCTCCTGAATTTTTCACGATACATGGGGTTCACGGGGGTTGTCTTAGTTCCCCTTTCCTCTTCAACCTTGTTATCGAATTGATCATGTGCGACTTAGTTCTTTCTAACTCTATCGGAGTGGAGGTCTTGCCTGGTGACCGTCTGTCAAATCTGGAGTATTCGGTCAACATTGCTCTTCTTGCTTCTGACCCAATGGCTATGCAAACATTGCTGGTTTGACTGACGCCTAGCGCTGCACGCTTTGGTATGTGTTTTGCCCCTTTGAAATGCAAAGTACTGCTGCAGGTCTGGACCGACACAACTCCGGTTCTAGCTCTCACCGAACAACCACTGAATGTGGTGGTTCGGTTTACTTACCTTTGTTGCTGTGTTGCCCCTGGGGTGACATCAGTGAGGTACTTACTTCGCGTATCAGAAGGGCCCATGTGGCTTTTCAGAGACAGTCATCTATGGAGACGGCGGGGTCTCAGTCTTTCAGTAAAAGTTAGAGTGTATTACGCTGCGGTATTGTCGGTCTTACTGTATGTATCAGAGACCTGGTCAGTTCACAGCGAAGACATTGAACCCTTAGCCGTGTTTGACCACCAGTACTTACGAAGTATTGCACTCATTTGGTGAGAACACCGATTAGCAGTGCTGAGGTTCTTAGTTGCTCATTTATTCGCCGAACTGGGAAATTTGTTTGCAAACGTTTCACTGGGGTTCTTAGTTTGTTTTTGGCAAAAAGCTTTCTGCTTCCTCACTTGAGTGCTTGCTAAATCTTAATCTCTTCCGTTGGCTATTCCATGTTCTCCCTATGTCCGTTGATCGTCTTACTCTACGTGCATTATACACCGTGGCCGCACCAAATTAGGCGAAAGTGTGAGGCGGCCAGCCCATGATGTGACATGGAAATTTTAAGAAATTGACTGAGGCTTTGTCAGGTTGATGCGTGTCGTCTTCGTGGATGGGCGTCTCGGGATGGTCCACCCTAATGGTTGGAGACCGTGTCAGACATGGTGCAGTCGTGCAGTCAGTGGCGTCCCTGCTTTTGGCTTCTTACATCTGATTGTTACTCTTCGTTCCATTCTGATTAGTTTAACGCACTTCCTTCTTGCTTCCATATTCTTTACATTCGATTTGTCTTCTGTCCCACTATCTTGCCGTTGTCATTTATTTTTATTCTTGCGATGGGAGTCTTGGCAACTCGGTCCACCGCACTTCAGTGCTCGGATCATAGTTGATAAACTGAAAAGTAATGAACTGAACTGCTGCCTGTGATGCAGCGGGCAATTGGCAGTGGGCTACAGGGATTCCCTTCTAAAGAATAAGATGCCACCCGCACTCTGACCTCCGTCTCGTTGCTTTTACTAACCGTTTCTTTTAAGCCAGCCGCTCTCTTATCGTTTTGTCGTGAACTTGGGTCCTTCATCCCACATTCACTTTGACTGTAATGAATTGCTTGGATTTCAAGCATCTGTTTATCGGCGTGTGTTCTTGCTTCGGTTAGCATTCCTAGCGCACCTTCCAATCGATCCGTCTTAGTGCATGATACTTGTTTCGTGCTTACACCACACTGTTACACCCTCGCTGGGGCGAATGCACTGATGAACTCTCTGAAATTACCCTTGCCTCATTGAATTCACTTGATTACTTCCTACTGGTGACTGCTTGACGTTTAGCCACCCACTTTGAACCATCCTGCTGGTACACTGTTCTATTCACTTTTACGGATCCCGCTGGCTGCTCCTGTTTGCTCACCGTTTTTGTCCCATATACTTTTTGTTTCAACAATTTAAGATTAATGACTCGGTCTTTTGCTTGCTCGGTTTCCGATGATAACTTCAGCGCTAAGCTTCATCCTGCGTTAGCAGGCTCGAGCTTGCGTCGTTAGCAGCGTTTTCCACGTTTCTACCGACACTTTCGCATCTATCCCAAGTTTCCTTATGATTCTGTCTTTTTATATTTACCATATCCACTCACACTTTACCTCGCCTTCTGTTTTCACGTGCTTTTTGTTCACTCTCCTTTAAACTCATCGAATCAATGCAAGTGGACAGAACGGGTTCTTACTCAAGAGTTGACTTTGCCCGAACCTCCTGGAAAAAGCGTTTCCTCTTCATTCTTGTCCCTACTCATCTCTCTGCTGCATAAATCCCCTGCTAAACGGATCACTTCCACTCAGTTAATTGGACATGAATTCTGGCAAGGCTGCCTACATGACCTTCGGGCATCCTCATTAACTACCGAACCGGTCCCAACGGACGAAGCACCATCTCTCTCAAACAAGGTAAGTGTTTAACGTTTTCCAAGCATTGTTCCCACATGCATCGTTTTTCCAGTCATTAAGGCTCCAGTGATGTCCTTTAAAATTAACACAAACGACCCTTTTCTTCAACTGTTCATGTGGGGAATTTCTGCAACCTTGTGGATTCCACTTACGCTTTTCCATACGTTTTGACTCTCCTCATGGCAGGCTTTTATCTAAGCATTTCTTGTGTTCTTTCAACCTTCATATGGTCTCACTTGTGTTCAGCAGAGCATGTGCACCTCCCATATCCGCCTCTTGAGTGCGCACTTACCACACTATTTTGGAGGCCACAGGCATCCGCTTCACTACATCTGCGTTGCACTGAGCTTGCTATATATTGTGCACCGTTCTAGTTTCTTTTAGTTCTCTATTCATTAATTGCATATCGAGCTTTCCATTTATTGTCCGGCACTTTCATCACTCAGAACACGATCACGAGTGATGATTGGATTTACTTTATTGGGGTACGATTCTTTGTCATTCATTCACACAGTCGCCGCGTGTCTAGGTGGGGTTAGCAGATGGCGTAGGCAAACCACCCATGCGTCATCTTGGTTCCGACCGGCAACACGTTTATACGTTCGGGCCGCTCAATTATCACCAAAATCCGATTGTTCGTATGAGGGATATCAATTGCAATGGAGCCCATGTTTATGAAACGACATGAAAAATCACCACATCTTCAACCGCTGTTTACCAACTATGAATGTCGCACGCGGATCCTTTTTGGTTCATTCTTGATTTATTTTTCGAATTTTTCTAATGGATCTCAAAGGTTCATATTTGTTCTAGTTATTCACAAGAAAAAGAGACTTCCGTGACCACTAATCATAGTGCTTCAACTATTGAAAGCAGCCGGGAGGTATAGAACTTGATATTGACGGTCCTTGAGAATCACTCAGTAGTTTTTGAGTTGGTATCTTCGGATAGTAAAGAGAGTCCATTAGAAGTGAGCAAAGGTTTCTTTGAAAATAAAATGTGGTCCAAAATATAGGTGACGTTATAAACAAGTGTGAAGTATGAATGCACACGTAGATCTTAAAGTGATCACAAGCCTAAGCAAATGTCTCCGAAATACAAGCTACAAAACATGTAACTCATCGTAATTAGATTAAAAAGAACGCCGGGATCAAACGGAGTGTTCTCAGTTAGACAACTGTGGTAGTGACCGTTATAATTTTAGTCGTTACGCATTTCAGTCACTTTTTCGCTACTCATTGGAAGAACATTAGAAAAGAGTTATGAGTGATAGGAATCTTTGATAATGTATAACAAAGGAAATTATAGCCTAGGCGGGTGTTGCAGCCACGGAAGTGCATCTGGTCGTCCGGTCTACAAAGTTATCAGTTTGTTCACTTTCGCAGTGCCCCGGATCGACCTAGATGCGAAACAATAAGAAAATCTGACATGAAAGCAAGGAATGAAGGTGAAGATACGAGTTTTGTTTTACGGACTGTCAATGTGGCAGTGATTTTTCAATAGCACACGGCGTTAGAGAGAAAGAATGATGGCCAGTTAGTGATTCCTTAATGATCCTCAAATCTGCACTACTGTCGGCATTTTCACTTCTGCAGGACTGGTGCGGAAATGTTTGTTACTTATACCTAGAACATGGGACTAGAGGTGTACAATTGCTTTTAGTGATTCCTCATCAAACCTGTACAACCACATAAAGAGCATAGCGAGTGGGGGTGGAAGTTATCAGATTAATTTACTAATGAGTTGTGGGGATTTGGTATGCTTAGAGACAGTTCATCACGGTCCACTCTAAGACTGGTCTCTAAAGGCACCAGACCGATGTTTTAACCTTCTGGGTCTCGTCAATGGCACGCCTGCCAGCGGACCCCTGCCGTGTTCTGCCTTCATCACTTCCGGATGCCAGCAGCTAGTGCCACTTCGCCATGAATGACAGTCGGGGACCTGCATGATTAACACTTGACTGTGTTATAACCCGGCTTATCTTCTACTACCAGTTGAAACAAATCACTTGTACGCCAGGTCCGTGAACCGACGAGCAATCTAAGCTTGGGGGCAATTGCATTTTCGATTCAGTGCAACTGGCTTCATAATCTTCCGCTTACCCTAGCCAAATCAACTTTACAGTCTGGATCAGTTTCTTTCGGAACATAAATGAGGTTATAGCAACTGAATACCGGTTGTGACGAGGAGGGCCCTGTAGATTATCCGAATAGCACGACTCGCTTCTGTTTGATGCCATGTCAACAAGTTGAATTAAAATGGAACTATTGGTAGCCCCAGTGTCACCTTGACGTAATCAACGTGGGTGATGCAAACTGACGCGCTTTGACAGGTGCCGTGCCACGCGTCGGTAGCATGTCCCTGAGTGGTTCTGTGGAGAACGTGCATTTCAGGGTCGCCGCTTGGAAAGTAGATCTAACTGCAGATGACAGGCTCCTAGTTTGGTGTTCTGCATCCGCGTCGCTTCGGACAGTCATATGGATAGTTTCTTCTCGACTGGTACAAGGGTGAGTTTCTTCTGAATGTGCTTAGGAATCAATCTGTCAAGCTACCCTTTTTCACACAGCATATTCTGAATAAATACATCATTCAGCGTGTCTTCATTGCAGATCTTAAGTGCTCTTGATTTAAGAGAACAATTCAAGTTTCGCTTATATTGCGGAGGAACAAAGCTGTGTAAGTTCGTATGTTGTCCACTCTACGTATTTTCCCGATAGACTCGACGTTGAATAGAGCCGTCTGTTCTTCTGACTAGCAACACTTTAAGAAGCAGCAACCGATTACTTGTTTCCTTCTCACAGATAAACTGCATTCCTGTGTCTCATTGGTTGAAGTGGTAGCGAACTTTCTCCTGGTTGATGTGCTTATCAGCTAGGACAAAAATATCATCCATGTAACCTTGGGAACATTCATAAATATTTATCTCCGTTTGTAGCCTAGCGTTGTCTGATTTCGCCATTAAAATGTCAGCGAACAATGGACCGACTGGCCATCCCATGGCAACAGCATCATTAAATATGAACTGCACGTTTCATGTACAACGCAATAGGAGGCTTTTCAACTCGCGCACCGGGACATCTTCATTCGACAATTGTGCATATGCCCACCTAGGTATTCGACCGCCTCCATCAGCGGAACTTTGGTGAAATGCTAGACGACGTCAAAAGAACACATTACTTTCTAATCAGTGTTGTAATATTTGCTGTTTTCGATAAATTGAAGGCTATTCGGTAGGCTATAGTGTGTTAGGTGTTATCTTAACTGCCCAAGTATCTCGACAAGCCACTGTGCAAGCACATGGCAGGGCGAACTAACAAGAGGGCGAAGTGGAATACAATGAATTTTTCTTCAAACAGTTTCCTGATGCTCTGACCGTCGCAGAGGATAATAAACGGCGCCCTATCTGCTGCATCGAGCAGGGTTGATAGCGGTTTGGATGCTTTCCGACCTTCTTATGCATCCTCCTACGCTTTTTCACCCTTATGGTGCTGTTCCAACTTCATTTTTATCCCCCCAGTTTTCAACCGCCCGATTCTTGGCTCTCTCCCAGCATGCTTTGTTTGACGTTTATCTTATGGTTTCAACTCACATGCAAACACGGAACGTCACTCCTGTTTTGTCTACAAGTCCATGTCCAACCAAGCGGTCCACGCCAGTTCATATGTTCCCATTTGGAGCCCTCGATCCTTTTTCAGATTGGCATGCCTCAATGCACGCTCATTGCTACAGATCGGTCAACAGGCAGCACTTGCCCGAACATAGGGATACCCGCTCGTACGAAATCTGCTGTTTATCGGAGACCCGTCTGCAAGACTCTAACTCGGTGTTCACTTTGTCATCCCCTTCAGGTGACACTAGCAGTATTTTCCCATTGCGTCTATCCGGTGACGATGCAGCTTCGAGCACCGGCCAAACTGCTGTTGGTATTGCCCTGAGTCCCCGGGCTGAAGCTGCTCTGGTTGATTGGATACCAATCAGTAGCCGGTGGTGTGCGGTCCGTTTGGCTGGCTCGTTCAAAGCACGGGACCAACAGGTGTCTATTCATCATCGCTGCCTACACGCCCACAAACTGTAGCGATAATTCCGTAAAAGGCGACTTCTACTGCCAACTGACCGAGCTCCTTCGCCACAGAAGAAGCTCGGACACTGTTGTGCTCTCTGGGGATCTGGACGCACAAGTTTGAAAGTTGTTCACTGACGAACTGCATCTGGGCGTCCAACATGGTGTAGACTCCCGTAATGATAACGGTGAGCGGTTACTTCATTTGTGTGAAGATGTCCGTTCATTTCTTGCGAGCACTAACTTCCGGCACAGCACTCGCCGGAGGGTGACTTGGCGCCCACCAGCCTCGAACGAGCCTTGGACGCAAATCGATCGCATTGCGATAATTTACCGACAGAGAAACTGCGTCCAGAACTGTCGCTCCATTTGGAGCACATGTGTGGACACCGACCATGCACTTGTATGTGCTGACCTGCGGATGCGTTTTTGCGGACGCCCACGACGATGTTGTGAGCGCATTGACACCAGCCAACTGGCAAAGTCAGGTGTTCTGAATGCGTATCAAAGTACGCTGTTATGCGATTTGAGTAAGCGCTCACTGGGGACAATTGAAGGTCACTGGTCACACGTTCACCAGACCTTAGTAGCGGCAAGTAACTTTTCATATGGTAAGTCTAATAGCCAACATGAACATTGGGTATCTTCACGGTCTCTGGAACTTATCGACGCTCGCCGGCAAATCCCAGCTTGAACACATTAAAACTCGCGAAGAGCTTTGGGCAAAACTCCGTGCTAATTTGAAGAGAGACCGCGAATCCTGGTGGTCTCATTGTCCGTCAGAGATGGAAGTGGCCGCTGCCCTTGGTAACCATCGAAAGTTATTCCGTCTGATACGTGAAAAGAGGCAGCAGGATACTTGGTGTTAGTGAAACAATTTGTGACGAGAGTGGACAGCCTATCCACAATTTTTCAGTGTTTGGAGCATTCGGCTAAGCAC